TCGCATGATCATCACAATTAATCAGAAAAGGCATTTTACAAAATCTAACATTCTTATACGATTTAAAAAAAAATACTTGATCAGGCAAGGTGGCTCACACCTGTAATCCTAGCATTCTGGGAGGTCGAGATGGGTCAGGAGTTTGAAACCAGCCTGAGCAAGAGCAAGACCTTGTCTCAACTAAAAAATAGAAAGAAATTAATTGGCCAACTAAAAATATATAGAAAAAATTAGCGGGGCATGGTGGCACATGCCTGTAGTCCCAGCTACTCGGGAGGCTGAGGCAGGAGGATCGCTTGAGCTCAGGAGTTTGAGGTTGCTGTGAGCTAGGCTGATGCCACGGCACTCTAGCTCAAGCAACAGAGTGAGACTCTGTCTCAAAAAATTAATTAATTAATTAATTAAAATTTTAAAAAATACTCAACGAAGTAGGAATAGAAGGAAATTACTTCAATATAATAAAAGTCATATAGGAAAAGACCACAGCTAACATCACCCTCCATGGTGAAAGATTGCAGGCTTTTCTTTAAGATCAGGAACAAGGAAAGGATGCCCAGTCTTACCACTTCTATGCAACATAGTACTGGAAATCCTTGTCAGAGAAATTAGGCAAGAAAAAGAAAGAAAGTCACCCAAACTGAAAAGGAAGAAATAAAATCATCTCTGATTGCAGATTACATGATCTTATATGTAGAAAACCCTAAAGATGGCACACACAAAATCTGTTAGAAATAATAAATTCAGCAGAGTTATAGGGTACAAAATTAACACTCATAAATCAATTGCATTTCTATACACAAAGAACAATCAAAAAAAGTTAAGAAAACAATCTCATTTACAATAGCTTCAAAAAGAATAAAATACATAGGAATAAGCTTAACCAAAGAGGTAAAAGATTTATACACTGAAAACTACAAAACACTGCTGAAAGAAATTAAAGAGGTAAATGGAAAGACATCTCGTGTTCATGGATTGGAAGATATAATATATATATATTCTTGAGCGAGTCTCCTTTGTTGCCCGAGGCTAGAGGGAGTTGCCGTGGGGCCAATCAGCCCTAGCTCACAGCACTTCAACTCGCTGAGCTCAGCGATCCTGCTGCCTCAGCCTCCCAAGAGCTGGACACCAGGAATGTGGCCGACCATACCCGGCTAATTTTTTTGTACATGATATTAGTTGGCATTAATTCTTTCTATTTATGTGCAGACGAGGATCTCGCTCTTGCTCAGGTTGATTTCGAACTCCTGAACTCAAACCATCCGCCGGCCTCGGCCTCCCAGAGAGCTAGGATTACAGGCGTGGGCCACCGCGCCCAGCCAGGAAGATACAATATTTTTTAAATGCTCATACTACCCAAAGTGATCTACAGATTCAATACAATCCCTATTAAAATTCCAATGGCATTTTTTACAAAAATAGAAAAAAATCCTCAAATTCATGTGGAATATCAAAGTACCCCAAATAGCCAAAATAATTTTGAGAAAAAAAGAACAAAGCTGGAGACCTCACACTTCTTTATTTCAAAACATATTACAGGCCAGGCATGGTGGCTCACACCTGTAATCCTAGCACTCTGGGAGGCCGAGGCAGGAGGATCACTCAAGGTCAGGAGTTCAAGACCAGCCTGAGCAAGAGCAAGACCCCCATCTCCACTAAAAATAGAAAGAAATTATCTGGACAACTGAAAATATGTATATAAAAAATTATCCGGGCATGGTGGTGCATGCCTGTAGTCCCAGCTACTTGGGAGGCTAAGGCAGAAGGATTGCTTGAGCCCAGGACTTTGAGGTTTCTGTGAGCTAGGCTGATGCCACAGCACTCTAGCCTGGGCAACAGAGCCAGACTCTATCTCAAAACAAACAAACAAAAAAAACCATATTACAAAGCTACAGTAATCAAAACAGTATAGTATTGGCATAAAGACAGATATATTAATCAATGAATCAGAATAGAGAGCGCAGAAATAATCCTCATGTATATGATGAAATGGTCTTCAACAAGAGTGCCAAGACTATACAATATGGAAAGGATAGTCTTCAACAAATGGTGTTGGAAAAACTGGATATCCACATGCAAAAGAATTAAGATGCACCCTTACCTTATGACCTAAACATAAGACCTGAAACTATAAAACTCACAGAAGAAAACATAGGAGAAAAGCTTCACAACATTGGTCTTGGCAATGACTTCTTGGATATAACACCAAAACCATAAGTAACAAAAGCAAAACTAGACAAATTAAACACAAAACATAAACATTTCTGTGCAGCAAAGAAAACAATCAACAGAGTGAAAAAGCAACCTACAGAATGGGAGAAAATATTTGCAAACCATATACAGAATATGGAGTTAAAATGTCGAATATATAAAGAACTCCTACAACTCAATAACAAAAAACAAATAGCCTGACTAAAATATAGGCAAAGGACTTGAATAGATATTTCTCCAAAGAAAATATACAAATGGCCAACAAGCATATAAAAAACATCACTAATCATCAGAAAAATGCAAATCGAAACTGCAGTGGAGTATCACCTCATACCATTAGGATGGCCACTATCATAAAAAATACAAGTGTTGGTGAGGATGTTGGAACACTTGCACACTGTTCATACGGTTGTAAAATGGTGCAACTGCTATGGAAAACACAGTGTGGAAGTTTCTTAAAACATTAAAAATAGATCTACCATATGACACTGCAATCCCACTTCTGCATATATATCCTAAAGAATTGAAAATAAGATCTTAGAGAGATATTTGCACACTAATATTCCTTGCATCATTATCACAATAGCCAAGATGTGGAAGCAACCAAAGCGTCCATCAACAGATGAATGGATAAAGAAAATATATACTTATATACACAATCCAATATTATTCAGCCTTAAAAAGGAAAGAAACCCTATCATATGCTACAACATGGATGAACCTTGAGGACACTATGCTATTTGAACTAAGCCAATCACAAAAAGACAAATACTGTATGATTCAACTTATATCAGGTATCTAAAGTAATTAAACTCATAGAAACAGAAAGTATAATTGTAGTTGCTGGGAGGAGGTGGAAACAGTTGTTCAAAAGATATGAGTTACAATTTGATCAGATCCTATTTATTTATTTTTGTTGCTGCAGTGATTGCTTTGGGGGCCTTCTTCAAAAATTCTTTGCCTGGGCTGATGTCTGAAAGGGTCTTCCCAACATCTTCTAGAATTCTTAAGGTTTCATGCCATAGGTTTAAGTCTGTTATCCATCCTGAATAAATTTTTGTGAGAGGTGAGAGGTGGGGGTCCAGTTTCATTCTTCTGCATGAAGCTATTCAGTTTGCCCAGCACCATTTATTGAAAAGAGATTCTTTTTCCCAATGTATATTTTTGTCTGCTTTGTCAAAGATTAGATTACCATATGTGGATGGTTTCAGCTCTGGATTCTCAATCCTGTTCCAAAGATCTATGTCTCTGTTCTTGTGTCAGTGCCATGCTATTTTAATTATTATAGCCTTATAGTACAACTTGAAGTCTGATAGACTGATACCTCCCAGTTTGTTCTTTTTACTTAAGATTGCTTGGAAGAATAGGCTCCACTTGTACTTGCCATCAAATTGGTACTGACTGATTAACACTATGGTGCTCACATGGTAGTAATATTCTCCAGGGATTAGGCGGTTGGGGGGATAAACTCACAACTAAAGAACACAGTGAACATCGTAGAGAGCAAGGGCATGCCTCTAGCCCTGGCTAGAGAGAAGCAAAGACATAAAATGTAACTAAAATGTTTGTACCCTCATAATACCCTGAAATTTAAAAAAAAAAAAAAGCACATATGCTAGCATTAAGTACTGAAATCTAAACTGTATATAAGATTTATGTAAAACAAGTGTGGATGGAAAGGAAACTGGAATAAAAAGCTTTGAAAGCAATCTAACAAATCAGAAAAAAAAAAAAGATGGGATGTGATCAAATTGTAACTCACATCTTTTGAACAACTGTTTCCCCCTCCTCCCAGCAACTACAATTATACTTTCTGTTTCTATGAGTTTTATTACTTTAGATACCTGATATAAGTTGAATCACACAGTATTTCCGTTCATGCAAGATGAAGAAGTTCTAGAGATCTGCTGTACAATACTGTAACGTATACTTAAAACAAGGGTAAATTATGTTGTATGTTTTTTACCACAGTAGATATATAGTGAGATAGATAGATAATCCCTCCTACCACCACCCCCACTAAAAAAAAAAAAAGAAAAGGCGAATAAGTTCTTCTTTACCATTCAGTCAAGGCAGCATAGTGATCTTCAGGACAGGTAAAGGGTATGCCTCCCTCTCTTAACTGGGAAGGGTTATTTTGATCCAGAGGTAGGGAAGGTGGAGCAGTGTGACACCTTGACTGCCACCTGCTCGGAGGCACGTCAATTTTAGAGGGCTGAGGATCTATAAGGATTCCAATAAAAGAATCTATGCCTGTATATCTTTTGAAAAATCTTAAACATTGGGGCACCCTGATCCCAAGCTCTGCAGACTGGTTTTCCTACTGGGGGTTCCCTCAGGACAAGAGCAAGGGAGCAACCAAGAAACTGGCATTGCCCCCTCAAGCAGCTAAAGGTTGTGGTTTCCTTTCCCTCCTGGCCTCCCAACACCTCCCCCCTTCCTTGCACCCCTACTTCCCCATTCCACAACTTCTCTGTGTGTTAGAATAATCTATTAATAAGACTTCAGGGCCATTCATGGCTCAAGACTGAGGGTCATGGCCCCTCTCTCGTGGAATAACAGTGAGGACTAAATGAGAATCATTGTGTGCCTGGAAGTTGAATGTGAGTTTGAGTCTGGGCTATGAGGGCCCAGAGGTGGTGACACTTGGCCTTTGGCCCTTCATGGAGTAGGAGGAAGGGAGCTGCCAGGATCCAGGAGTTCTGGCTTCTTTCTTGCTCCGCCTTTGGGGTTTTTCTGTGAGATTTCCCGTTGCCACAGGGTCCAGGGCAAAGACCACCAAACATAAGAAGTTTCCAAGGAGTGGGCAGGTTTTAATGAGCGTCACAAAGGGACCAGGTGAGGGAGATACAAACTCTAGATCCAGCCTTTATTACCATGATTTCATGGCTGAGCAGAGGAAGGAGGCTCAGCCCTGATTAACTCATTCACAGATGCAGAGGCACCTGGAGGGGAGTGGCTGGAAGGGCTTCTCTACCCAGGAGGGGGCTGAGGGCAAGGGAGAGGTCTCTGCTGCTGCTTCCGCTGCCACCAAGAGCAGGGAGACGTCGGGCAGTGAGCTGACCTCCGGAGGTCAGGACAGACACACAGACAGGCAGGAACAGGGCAGGAACATCAGGTGAGGAAACTCTTGGGGTCTCCAAATAGCTTTAAGATCTCGCAGAGGGATCCCTAGGGCCTGCTGACTCCAGGCACTGAGACCCCCAGGGAGGCACCCCCAGACTGAGACACTCACAAAGGGGCCCTGTGAGCAAGGATCAGAAGAGGGTCTGGAGGGAGGAGGAGGGAGCCTGGGGAGACACCTGGGTGGGCATCAGGCCAGTGCCTGAGAGGTGGGCGTGCTGAACGGGCCTCTAGCTGCTGCTCTGCTGCTCCTGCTGGCGGATGAGGTTGGCGATGGGGCAGGTGATGCCACCTATCAAGGTCCAGTACTCGTCAAAGCTGATGCGCCCATCGTGGTTGGCATCCAGGTTCTGGATGAGCTTGTCTGCAGCCTTGCGGTTCCCCGTGTCCTGGGGAGGAAGTGGGGGTCAGCAATGCGGAGGGTGCAGCCCCAGAGACACCCCAGATAGGACCCTGGGAGAGTCCCAGCCTCTGGTCTGGGCAAGAGCTTTCCTTAGAAAATGCAAACAGAGCCCTCAGCGCCAGGCCCAGGCATCCTGAGAAGACAAAGTCCTGGGGGCGGGGGAGACCCTGGAGTGGGGGCAACTCTGAAAGGAGTGAGGCCACTGTGGGGAGGGGGAAGGGCAGAGACCATACCGTCAGCATATGGTTCAGCTCTTTCTGGAGCATCTTGCGGAAGCTGCTCTTGCTGATCTTGTTCTTGACCAGGCTGTGCTTAGACACGTATTTGTAGAAGTTTTCCACCAGGACAACGACCGCCTTCTCCAGCTCCGTGTAGCAGCAGTCCGCCATCTCACCGCTTCACCTCGCTGGCTCGGGGCCTGGGCACCATGCGGAGGGGAGGTGAGCAGTGACCCCACAGGCCAAACCTTCACCCGGATGCCCACCCTTGGCCCTGGGTGCTTCCACCTTCCTCACCTGGAGAAAGGAGGAGGCAGGGGAAGGGGAACACAGGGTGGGCACGGGGGTGGGCCCTGGAATGAGAACTATGTGGCTCCTCTAATCCAGGTGCTCCCCAGCTCAACCGCCTCAACAGGTTCTCCAGCCCTTCCCCAGCCCCAGGCACTGGCTGCAGCTCTCAGAGCCCTGCTGGGATGGGGATGAGAGGAACTGCCCAGCCCTGCTCCACACCTGGCCCACCCAGCTCCCTGCCCTGGAAGCCAGCACAGTGGCTTGAGATGAGCCAAGGAGGAGGGGCAAGGGGCTATTGCCTCCCACTCTCAGGACCGGCTGAGACCCAGGCCACAAGGCAGGAGGGAGGGTCCTGAGCCCCAGGGCAGTGAGTCCAGGGCTTCAGACCATGGCTGCCTCTCTTTGGAAAGGAGAAGGTCCTGATCCATCACATCAGATTCTGTGCAGCCTGCCTAGCGCCCACCACACCCGGCTAGCCTCTCCTCCCACATGCCCGCTCCTCCTAAACAGACGGCAGGGCCCAGGGATACCCACCCTCACCCCATTACCTAAGGAGAAGCCAGGCCTGTTGTGCCACAGCTGGACACAGACCCTGAACAGAGCCGCAGCCTGCCAGAGGCCACATGCGTCACCCTCTCGCCCCAGGACAAAAGACACTCACATTCCAAGCGGATACAGCCTTTTGAATAACAGGATATGAGGGGAACAGGCGGGTCTACTGCTTGAGTCACCGCCCATGCCCAGCGCCCCCCCAAGTCCATCCAGGCAAATCCCACTCCCCTCCTACCCCCAAGCCCAGTAATGAGCTCCAGCCACCCTCACCCACTTGCTGGACGTGGCCACGGTCGGGGCCTTAGCGGCCCACAGTCTGATCTGGAAGGGAGGGCTGCTTCGCCAGGCCCACCGCAGCCTCCTGCCCCTGCCTCCTGAGTTGTCATCCCCCTTATGGCCATTCCTACTCCCATGCCCGCTGCCCTGCTCTCCCCAGCAGAAGCCTGCCCATCTCTCGGGCCTGCCCAAGCCACGCCTGCGTGGGAAGCCTGCCTTGACCCCTGCCTTCCGTGCCCTCCCGACTCCCACAGACACGTCTGTCTCCACCGCTCCGCCAGCACTGACCTCGGCCCACTAACTGGCGTGGCCACAGTCTCTTTCTGGATCTTGCCTCGTTCCTTGAGACAAGCATAGTGTTTCTTAAACGCAGCCACCGTATTTTCCGAACCAAACAGCAGGATTCATAGACTTTGGGACAATTCTTTTAAAATCCTGGACATAGTACCTCCCTGTTTTTAATCTCTGCATCACCCCTGGCCCACATTGCCTGGCCCAGTGCCTTCTCCAGGTAGGTGTTCTGTAAATAGTCCACCTCCTTCTAGCACTGATACCAAAGCATCCAAGGCCCCTGGCCACCTTTCTAAGCTTTCCCTTGCATGAGGCTGCGTCTGAAGGAAGGACGAGACTGGGAGGGAGTAGGCCAGGAAGAAAGAAGGCAGGAGAAGACTGGGCGCAGTGGCTCACGCCTCTAATCCTAGCACTCTGGGAGGCTGAGGCAGGCGGATTGCCAAGGTCAGGAGTTCAAGACCAGCCTGAGCAAGATCGAGACCAAGTCTCTACTATAAATAGAAAGAAAGTAATTGGCCAACTAATATATATAGAAAAAATTAGCCGGGCATGGTGGCACATGCCTGTAGTCCCAGCTACTCGGGAGGCTGAGGCAGGAGGATCATGAGGTTGCTGTGAGCTAGGCTGACGCCAGGGCACTCACTCTAACCTGGGCAACAAAAGCGAGACTCTGTCTCAAAAAAAAAAACAAAAAAAAAACAGGAGAGTTGAGAGGGAGAGGCAGGCAGAGTATCTCTAATGGGGAATCCTGCCCTTCCGTCCCTGCCCCACCTGCCTGACCACTCCGGTCTGTGGCTAAGAGGATGAAGGATGGTACTAGCACTGCAGGAAACCACACTCTTTCCATACTCTCTGTTTGCTAAGTGTGCAACTGTGTTGTTCAAGGTTGAGACCTGTGTAAGACTTTGCTACAAACTCTCCAACATTCACAAATAAAGAGGAAGAAAACTTTTCAACCCACAATCTGCTCTATTGCCCTTGGGGTGGGGCACAGTGGGGGGCGGCCAGGCCCATGACTAGTGTTCCTGGGGATTCTGAAAACTGAAAAACTGTAGCCATTTCTGGAAAGATTGTGTCCGGGCCATCCCCAACCAAGCCTTAGGACCGGGAAGAGAATTCAGTGAAACCCCCCACCCGTAGCCATCCCAGACCTCGTTCCCTAAGCGAGGGACCTTGAGAGGGAAGAACTCAGTGTCCCGGGTAGTAAGCCTCTGCCCTTCTCCCCACTGGCCGGCCCAGCTCTCCCACTAGCCGCCGCCTTGAAGTCACTTCCCTGACCGGAGGCGTCTCCTACCCTTCCTCAATACCATGCCCCAACCCTACCTGGCCGCTAGCAGCGGCCAAGCAGGCAGGACACAGAAGAGCCCCAAGAGATGACTCTGCCACCTGCTCCCAGGAGTGCCGGGTCACCCAGAGAGATAGCTTCAGCGCCTCTGGCTTCAGTTCCCAGGCCTCCTCCCACTGCTCTGCCTCCTCCCCACCTTCTCCTCGTAAAATGGACAACACTGCAGATAGCCATCTGGACAAGTGTTTTTCTGGAGTTCTTTCTGAAGGAAGGGTATCAGAGTAGGCAGTCAGGGGTCATTACCCTCTTCCTCCCTCCCTCGCCTGGGGGCCAGGAGACAGGCTCTGCCACCCTACCCACCCCACAGCCACCTGCTCCTCTGCCTGCCCCACCCCAGGGTCTCAGGGCATGGGGCGGGGGCAGCTGTGCTGCCCTATCTGCCCCTCCTAAGAAGGGCAAGCAGGAGGTAGATCCTGGCCCTAGTGGACAGTGTACACCAGAGCCTTCCAGAACAGTGGGAATGGGGAACCATTTGTCTTCCAAAGGGCCTCTCACCTGGGCCCCCAACCCTCCCCCAGTCTTCTCATTGTCTTCTCCCAGGCTGATTCATCATTGAGCAACCAGGAGGCTCCCCCCCACCCCGCCCACCTCAGCCCAGCTTGCTGACTTTTCTAAAAGCCCAAATTGCCCTGACACCATGCCCCTGGATCTCAGCCACTCCAGCCCCACCCTCCCACCCCCAGGTTCTGGGCCCCACCCCCTCCAAGTACCTCCTAACTCCCCCCCACCCCTCCAGGCCCCTTCAATCTGGAGCCCTGAACATCTGCCACACCCTGCAACGTTCACTTTCTCTTCCCACCTGACACTGGCTGCCTCCAAGTGTTGGGATGTGTCCCTGGACTCCTGACCTTCCTCAGCCCTGTTCTCTCCAGAGCCTGGCCTGAGTGTGGCGTTCTCGGTGTCCCCTCCATCTACCTTCAATCCACTCGATCACTTATTCACCATTCATTTGCTTACTCATTCATTCATTGACTCACATGTTCACTCTCATTCATTCACTCACTTGTTCAATAATGCATTCCTTCTCTCGCTCATTCATTCATTCATTGCCTTCTTACTTTGTCATTTGTCCCCACTGCCTTCGACATACAGGGAAAGTACGATCCGAATTGAGCTGGTAATGCCGTCTCTATCTGCAAGGCTGTTGCGTATGAATCTCTCCAGCCCCAACAGCCCGATTCTCTGCTCCCTTTTATGCTCTTTTCTTGGTTCCACGAGGCTAGTCATTCACACAGGTGCCCTGCTCCCCCTCCCACCCTCACAGGACTCACTATGTCTAATTCACACACACAGAGAAGGAACTTTGCCATTTTTGATCCCCTCTGCTAGGGTATCCCATCAACCTTCCACTCACTTCTGATTTTGGAGCAAGAAGCCAGCTTCCAAATTTTTTCCCAGACAAGTTAATTTGGAGGAGTTTGGTATGGATAAACACACACACACACACACACACACACACACACACACACGTACAACCAGCGGCCCCCAGCCTCACCAACACTCAGAGCTCTTTACCGGTCTGCCAGGAAAGGCTGCACCCAACTCACCAGCACGCTGGCCTCACCCCCATCCGACACCCAACTGGGCTGGGCTGGGGAATGCTCCTATAGTGCAGGTGGCTCTGCCAAGCCAAGCCAGTCAAGCCAGGACCTGCCTGGGTCCTGAGGTGCAGAAGCTCTCCCTCACCCTTGCCTTCTCCCGGAGCTCCAGAGCTCCGAGGCTCCTCCAGGGCCTCACACAGGTTCCTCCAGGCTCCCAGCACCCCCCTGTGGGAACAGCTCTGAGAGCACAATGGGGCCTGCTTCCAGGGAGCTGGCTGGGTCGTGAGGTGGAACAGACGCCACCTCAGCCCCTGCCTCCTCTCCCTGGGTTTTCAGGCTTCCCGGGCCCTCCCTGGTTCCTCTGAACCCCATTCCCTCTCCCCGGACACAGCTCCCAGACCCCAGTGAGGCCTGAGCCCAGGGTCTGACCACCCCCACCCCCACCAGCACACGCCTGGGGAAGATCGAGCAGCTGTGGGCAAAGCTTTCTAAAGCTCTGCCCGGTGGCCCAGCCCCTGGACAGGAGCCCAATCAGCTGCTGGGCCAGAGAGGGGGTCTTGCCACCCTATACGCCCCTCTGAAGGCCTCACCCAGCCCCCAACCCCACCAGGATTCCCCACTCCCAAAGTGGCCTTTGGTGAAAGTTAATGATTGACAAATCTTCCTGCCCTGTCTCTGGCAGGCCTCTCTCCCCAGGCCCCCTCCACTGCCCCTTCTCCTGGCCTCCCAAGCCTGCCGGGCCCCTCCGGCAGCGTCAGACCTCCCAGGCCAGGCCTGGGCTGCTCACCTGCCTCCTCCTCCGTCCACCTCTGCTCCGGCAGGGCTCTGGGGCCTGGGCTCTGGCACTGCCAAGCAGCTCCCTGCACTCAGCCCAACCGGGACTCCTCCCCGCCGCACTCCCAGAATCTGTCCCACTCCCTCCTGGCCCTGCCCGCTGAGCTGGCTCGGTGGGGAGATAGTACTGAGCTCCCTTTTGACTTGGCCCTGGGGTTGGGCCCTTGTTAAAGGGATACACACCTTTTTTAACACCCCTCTACCTCCACCCCAGAGGGAGTGGTGGAAGCTGGCACTCCCCCAACCCTACCCTCCTAACCCCGCAGGGCCTGAGCAGAACCTGACAGGGTAGAGGAAGGACTGTCACCTGCCCTCCTCACCTGGGTCACTAGGAGCCCAGTTTCAGGGCCCCCCCAACAGACAAGTTCAGGTAGCATTCCAGGCCAGAGTAACTGGCCACAGAAACGTCCTTGCTGTTGGGATTACAGGAGTAAACACCTGATTTCTGCAGGCTCAGGAAGCAGACACCAGAGACTAGCATCTGGCTCTCTGGTCTTCTGTCTCCAATCTAGCCCATTAGGAGCCCTTCTGAGACCTGTCCCTAAGACCCCTCATGTACAGCAGAGGGTTCCTCTGGAAACTTCCCACCCCCCACCCAAGGAAACTGGCCAGCTCGACTTCCCTATACTGGAAGTCAGCTGAAACCAGAGAAGGGGCCCACTTGCCCATTCCAACGGTTGTGAGTCCCTTTCTTGGGCACTCATCATGCATCGGGCTCTCTGATGAGTACTTTACATGAGGTGTGGCACTATCTCCTAACAAGTCTGTGAGGGAAGTACTGTAGATATCTCCATGTGACAGATAAGGAAATTGACATTAAAAGCATGCCCAAAGTTCCAAAGGTAGGTGGCAGAGCTGGGATCCAAACCTAGGCCAGTCAGCCTGTTTCTCAGCCCCACATTTCTTTTAGTGAGCCAGGACTCAGCATACTGGTGTGCACACACACCCTCATCTCCTGTCAGAGGGCTGCCCACTGGCCAAGAGAAGCCTGGCCCCCAGAGAGGGCCAGGTCACCCACCTTTTGGGCCTGGTACCACCCTCAACCCAAATCCATGGGGAAAAGTGAGTCCATTCACTTCCACTGCCAACCACTCAACCCCACAGGTCCCAGCCCACCGATAACTGTCATTCACCCCCAAGCTCCCCTCACCAGTGGATCCTGGGGAAGGGGTATCCAGTCAAGACAACATATTTCACTTTTTTCATATTTTTATTAATCAAATGATACAAAATAAACCATCATTCTGTAAATGCCCAAGCACCCAGCTGGTCCTGTCACCCCAAGGTCACACCCTCCTCAGCCTCTCCCCCGGCCCTGCTCTCCCTGCTCCCCTGCCCTAGCCCAGGGAGGGTCCTGGGAGGAGGCTAGAGCAGGGCTGGAGGCAGGAAGAGACAGCACGGAACAGACAGCCACCATTTGGGTTGGGGAGGACATTAGGAGGGGTAGGTTCTTAAAGACCAATTTTAGTTCCAAATATCCAGCCATATTCCCAGCCCTATTCTTCAAATCATTTCCCATAGCCCAGCTTCTCTCTGCCCTCCCCCACTACCAAATTCCTTGGCCCTTGCACTGTCCTTATCCCTCCAACCATCCCTCAATATCCATCCCTGGCCCGACCCACCCCCAAGCCTCCCTCTGGTGGGGGCTCCTGGCCCCATAAGCGCCACGGAGCACCCAGGACGGAAGTGCCCAGAAGCCCTGGGAAGGCCGCTGAGACCTGGACTTTGCAGAGGAGAGGAGAGCTGCAGGCTGGGGAATAGGCGGTGGTGGAAGGGAGGAGCTTTTATTTGCAGACCACAGTCTCTAAGTTCCCCTCTGCCCAACACCTGCCAGGAATTCCAGGGGGAGCTCTCAACTCCCACGAGCAGGGCTCTCCAGCTTCACACTCTTGGCTGCTTCTCCGATCAGCTCCCAGAAACTCCCGAACTCCAGCTTAGAGTCGCTACAGTTGCCCAAGTTGGCGATTTTCTCTTCCAGCCCACAGTTGCTCTAAGGGGAGGGAAGACACCGTGGCTCAGGGAGGCAGCACCTTCAAATCTTCCCACCCCGCCCTGCCCCAGGGCAGGCGGCAGGACCTGGGCCTACCTGGCACTGGCAAGGGGGCAGGATGGGGGTTGCTAGTGCCAGGGTGGGTGGGGTCTTGGAGCACTTGCTTGGGAAGTCAGGGTACTGTCTGGGGCAGGGTGCACTCCCTCAGTACCGGCATGAGGTGGGGCAGCTGCTGGGTGACCAGGTCCCGTAGCTCAGAGGGGGTCAGCGTCTCCTTCCCCCCCTCCACGGAGTACTGGTGGAAGTTCTTGATGAGGGTCTCAATGGCCCTCTCCACATCACTGAATTCCTGGGCATCCTGAAGGCAAAGGACATCACCCACGTCAGGGTGGCTCCACCCACCCTACAACACCCTGCTTTCCCAGGAGCCTGGCAAAGCCAACAGGGCAGAAGACAGCTAGAAGGCATATGGGCTCCTGCCTACTCCAAAGCCCAGAATCCAGCCCCTCAGCTCCCACCCCCAGCCCAGCCTCCGGGCCACAGTGGCCTCTGCCCGAGCCACAGGTTGGGCAAGGCTTCCCTCCCCACCACCCCCCAGCTCAGGCAGAGCAGGTCCCGGCATGCACCCAGCCATCCTCTTCCAGGAGGACTCCAACTGCATCACCCTGTGTGGGCCCCAGGGAGGGGGCGCAGGTCTCACCGGCAGGATCCGGGATGCTGGGTAAGGCCAAGGTGAGGGGCAGAAGTCACTGGGGGACTTAGACCCTCAGAGTGGAGGAGAGGAGTGTAGGAACAGAAAGACAGCCCAGGAGTGGATGGGCCCACCTCAGCATTGGCTGACCGACACTGTCCCATGGTGCCTGGTGTGCTTGGTCCTTTGGTGAGTTTTGTTGTCCTATAGCCTGCCCCAGAGGAGCTGATGGCTCATGATCTGCCCAGAGAAGGGGGAAGCCAGAGGTGAGGGGAGAGTTCAGCATTCCTTTCCCAACTACCTCCCCTAGGTTCCACCCCAGATAGTCTGTATGTCACCTGAGGGGTCAGAGAGAAGTCCACACAGGCCCAGTCCCTGCCCAGGCTCCAGGAGCTAAGGTAACAGCCCCCAGGCCAACCCATTTAGAGGGAATCCCTAGGGCCTCACCTTAGTCTCATTCCTCCCACTTCTTCCAACCACCCACCTGAGTCTGAAACACCCACACCCCAACCTCCAGGACCGGGTCCCCCTGCCCTTCTCCTGGCAGACTAGAGTAGGACAAACTAAGCAAGCCCTCTGGACAGGGGGGCAGCCCATTTGGGTGAAAAGCTCTGGGTTTCCTTACCTGCTGGCAGCCGCTAACACGGGATAGGAGGAGCCAGCTCACCTGAGCTCAGCTTTTATACCTGGGGGAAGGGAGGGGAGACAGAGGGCGGGGCCTCATCCCTAAGCCACCCCTGCTATTGCAGCAGCCTGGGCCCCCAGCCAGCGGTGTGGGCCCCACCCTCCATTGGCCAGAGTTGCTGAGCCTACCCCCACTGGCCACGGCTAAGCCAGGAGGAGGGAGCTACCGAGGGCTGGGTCTGGGATGCCCCTGGCCCCAGATCAGCAAACAGAGTCATAGGGTTGGGGGGGAAGGAAGCCTGGGGAGGGAGAGAGAGGGCTTGGAGACCCCTGGGGTTGAGCTAGGAGGTGGAAGGGCCTGGGGGAATTGTGGGGCAGAGAACCAGGCTGGTCTGAGTCAGTAAGAGAAAAGGAGCAGCAGAGGCTGGTCAAAGCGGGGTTTTGTAGGACTGAGGGGAGTGTGAGGTATGTGGGTTGAGGGAGGTCACAGAAGCTTCTCTGTACTTTCCATGTGTCACACACACACTCCTCCCAAGCAGGGCCAACTTGGATAGTGACACTCAAGCCTGCCCAGAGCCCAGCCTTTCCTCAGAGATGAAGGCAGAGAACTCAGGTCAGGAGAAGAAGCCAGGGAAGGGCAGCCTGGTGGATGGAGCCAGACTGGGTGAGTGTTGACCCCACTCCCCTTCAGCTCCCACAGTGGCCCAGAGTCCACATGTGCAAGGCCCAGATGGGTTGCCTGGCAGCTAACAACCTCTCCAAACTGGTTGGGCTGCATGCTCCTCCCTGGCTCAGCACCTCAGAACACAGGGCCTTCCCTAACCGAGCCGTTGCACAGAGACACTCCCCTCCAATCCAGTGCCCAATATGACATCCCTGGTAGCTCAAACTGCAGGATTAGGGACTCAGCCCAAGCCAAATGGTCCTCCTCACGGGCCAGAGGCCTGGAACCTGAAGTCATGGGCAGGTGGGGAGAAGGACAGAGACAATGTGGGGCAGGGCAGGGATGGGGCAGAGTCCAGAGCCAAAGTTCCTGGGAGCCTTTCCTAAATGCAGAGATCAGAGCACACCTCCCCATATCACCTTCTAGGGCATCGGTCCCCAACCTTTTTGGCACCAGGGACCAGTTTCATGGAAGACAATTTTTCTATGGGGGAGGGGGACCCAGGCGGTGATGTGAGCAATGTCCCACTGCTCATCTCCTGCTGTGTGCCCCCCTTCCTAAGTTTCATGGGAGACAATTTTTCCATGGACAGGGTTCGGGGACAGCAGAGCTCTTTTGCCCAGTCCCTAACAGGCCTCAGACCAGACCGGTTCCAGTCCATGGCCATGGTGTTGGGGACTGCAGTTCTAGGGCTTCCCTATACTTTTGGTCTCAATCCAGGGCCCTCTGTGTCTCAACAGAGAGGCCCTTCCAAGAGCGTCTCAATCTGAGGGTTCCTGTGAACGGCTTCCATCTGGGGACCCCTCTGAGAGCCTCTCAATCTGCCGGCTTCTCTTAGAGTGACTCAGCCTGGGATCCCTCTGAGGAGTCTCAGTCTGAGGGTCCCTCATAGTCTCTCGCTGTGAGGGAGCCTCTGGTGTGGGAGCCCCTGGGGAAGGTCTCCACCAATGGCTCCGCAGATGCCCAGTCTGGAGGTCGCTCTGAAGTCTCTGTCTGGGAAGCCTTAGATGGAAGGTCCCAATCTGGGGCTCAATCTGTGGACTGGCAGCTGCCCCACATGGACACCAGCTGGTGCAGCAGTGACAGTGAGCTGCCCTGCCCCTGCTCCCTCTGGTGGTCAGCAGTGTAAACCACATGCTTCTCAAGCCAGGAAGGATAACTCTGTGCCAAAAGTTCCGCTTCCTGCAGCACCACCACACCCTCGCCCCCACGCGGTCCTCGAACTGAACCTGTTGTCCTTCCTTCTGCTTCACCGCTGCTACGGAGGGAGGGCGGGAGGAGGGTCCAGTGTTCCCAAGCCCGCATCCAGAGAGGATCCTGGTTAATCAGAGGCCCTGGAATTTCAACCCAGCTCCACCCATTCTCTTTGTGACTTAACATCTCTAAAATCTGTTTCCTTATCTTTAATACAGGACTCAAAAATAGTACCTACCTCAAAGGGCTGTGAGAATTAATTAAAGATAATGCAGGCCGGGCACGGTGGCTCACGCCTATAATCCTAGCACTGTGGGAGGCCGAGGCAGGCGGATTGCTTGAGGTCAGGAGTTCGAAACCAGCCTGAGCAAGAGCGAGACCCCGTCTCTACTATAAATAGAAAGAAATTAATTGGCCAACTAATATATATACAAAAAATTAGCCGGGCATGGTAGGGCATGCCTGTAGTCCCAGCTGCTTGGAAGGCTGAAGCAGCAGGATTGCTTGAGCCCAGGAGTTTGAGGTTGCTGTGAGCTAGGCTGATGCCATGGCACTCACTCTAGCCTGGGCAAACAAAGTGAGACTCTGTCTCAAAAAAATAAAATTTAATTTAAAAATAAAAAATAAAGATAATGCAGGTAAAAAGTTTAGCACTGCGCCTGGCACTTAGTAAGCCCTCAAGCATGTGCACTACCATGGTTACCCTCCTGGCCGAACCCTAGAACAAGAAAACTGCAGCCTGGGACACGCAGCTGAGCCCCAGGAGGTACCTAGTGGGATAGGGTTTACCTCACCTGCCCCACATCTCTGTCTCTACATTTCATATATTCATTCAACCGTTTATTGAGCACCTACTCTATACAACACCTGGTGCTATTAATAGATGTTACAGAATATTCAAAGATGAATAACACTCCCTGTCCTCAAACAGCTCATAATTTTCAGACCCACCCTCAGGTCAAGGCAGAGCTTTCCCATCACCTGGTCTCAAGAGAAGAAACCAGAGTGGGGTGTGAGTAAGAACCACTTGTGTTTCAAGGAGGAAGCTTTATTTGGGGAGAGTGGGGTTCTGCTCGGCCCGGCCCAGCCCCGCCCTGCCCGCCCCCATCCCAGCCCAGCCGGCTTTACTTCTTCCGGATCTCCAGGGCCTTCTCCTTCCTGATTTCCTTGGCCAGCTCCCCAATCAGTCTCCAGTACTCATTGAACTTGAGCTCCGAGTCCTGATTCACATCCAAGCTTCTCATCTTCTCATCCAGGGAGCCCACATCCTGAGGAAACACCAAAGAGAAGGGTAGGATTAGAAATTGGGGATCTTCGAAAGATCCAATGACACTCTACAAAAAAGACACCTGCACTCGAAGGTTTATAGCAGCACAATTCATAATTGCAAGGCTGTGGAAACAGCCCAAGTGCCCATCAATCCAAGAATGGATTAATAAAATGTGGTATATGTATACCATGGAGTACTACTCAGCTCTAAGAAACAACGGTGATATAGCACATCTTATATTTTCCTGGTTAGAGCTGGAACACATACTACGAAGTGAAGTATCCCAAGAATGGAAAAACAAGCACCAGATATACTCACCAGCAAACTGGTATTAACTGAGCAGCACCTAAGTGGACACATAGGTACTACAGTAATAGGGTATTGGGCAGGTGGGAGGGAGGAGGGGGCGGGTCTATACATACATAATGAGCGAGATGTGCACCATCTGGGGGATGGTCATGCTGGAAACTCAGACTTGTGGGGGGAGGGGGAAAAGGGCATTTATTGAAACCTTAAAATTTGTACCTCTATAATATGCCAAAATAAAAAAAAAGAAATTGGGGATCTTAAGATGGGGAGAGATGGAAGAATTGCCAGCTGCCATTCTCTGAAGGCCTTTCCCTCAGAGAGCACTGGCACCTGCCTCTCACCTGAAGGATGAGGCTGCAGCCCCAAGACTGCATTGCCCTGGGGTCCCAGCTCCAAGGGACACCAGCAGAAGGAGGTGGGAGGGCCTGACGTGTAGTGCTTGCCATGGTGTAAATACTCCCACTATGGCCAATTATAAACTGCAAACATGATATCATTGGGAAGTAATGCACACAATCTGCTCTCGCCAGCAGGTATGAGCCAGCCCTAGCTCGCAGCTGTCCTGTGGATGGATCCAGTCTGTCTGTCCACCCTGGGAGCCTTCTCAGTCCAGCCTTCTCTTTCACAGAAAGCTGGAGAAACTCCCAGTACTTAGATGCTCATTTGCATAACCCTAATGTCTTCTCTTTTATCCAGCTGGGTTATCAGCCCGGTAGATCAGGGGAATGGCAAAGACATGGGGTATCTGATTTTCTAGAGGGTCCTTGACAAAATCTCTCACAATAGGCCTATGTGAATATCAGTGGATACTGTAAAGTGGACCTCCTGATCAAAGGATTTGTTGTCAGATAAACAATCACAACCAAAAAGTTGACTGCTGAACAAATAAATAGGTCAAATGTCAAACCAGAGAAGGGTGCCTCAGGCAGAGTGTGATGTTCAGCACTTGAATCAACATTTGGATGAAGGCAGAGAAGACTAGCCACATCTCTAAATGGGGTAAAGCAGATTTGTAGAAGAGCTTAAAAAAACTTTTTTTTTAAAGCTATAATCATGCTTCATTGTAAAATACTATAAGCTTTGCTGGTGGAAAGCAAGGATGGTTAGCAGAACATTACATTGGGAAAAGGAATAACATTCAATTAGTAAAAAGAAAGAAATAAGTATTGGCAAGGAAGAAGCAGATTCACCAGTATTAGCAACTATGTAATTGTATATCTAGAAAAAATCAGCCTGAGCAAGAGTGAGACCCTGTCTCTACTAAAAATAGAAAGGAATTAGCCGGACAACTAAAAAACATATAAAAAAATTAGCCCACCACGGTGGTGCATGCCTGTAGTCCCAGCTACTTGGGAGGCTGAGGCAGGAGGATTGCTTGAGCCCAGGAGTTTGAAGGTTTTTTGCTGGTGAAGCTAAGCCTGATGCCAGCAACTTCTAGCCCAGGCAAACAGAGCGAAAACTCTGTTCCTAAAACAAAAACAAAACAGAGTTTTTAAAATGGCCTAACCCACAACTGTAATTACCTTATAAAATAACAATGGGTTGCCAAAGCCATTGTCTACAAGCAAAATGCTTTTTATTTTTTTTATTAAATGTTTCCATCTGAATGAAAAATCCTCAAATGAGCACAAGACCTTGTCCTCAGGGCTCAACCACAAGTAATCCTAATGCCTGGGAGAATGTTCTGTCTTTTAGCAAAGATTCTTGGTTCCAACCACTCTAACCCAGCCAGGACAGTGTCCCAGACATACAATAGTCAAGTGGCTCAAATAAAATATTTTTTTTTTGAATGAATCGTACACCAATCCAAACCAAGGAAAGGATATTTATGATGAAGTCCCATTTTCCCAGATGAGAAATTAGACAAATTAAATATTTTACCAGGAAAATAACAAACACTTAAAACTAAATTGGTCTGACTCAAAGGAATTAATGCTTTTAACAGTATTATCTTCCCCCCTCAGAAAAAAAAGGAATTTAGAATGTCCCTGGTTTACAATATTAATACAAAAACAAATAGGCCCGCGCTGTGGGCTTCACGCCTGTAAATCCCTAAAAAAGCCGGAGGCTTGAAGGCGGCCCCGGTTGGTCAAGGTCAGGAGTTTCGAAACAGCCCTGAGCAGAGCGAAGAACCCGTCTCTAACTATAATAGAAGAAATTAATTGGCCAACTGATTTATATTAATAAAAAAAATTAGCCGCATAGTGGGGCGCATGCCTGTTAGTCCAGCTTAAAACTCGAAGGCTGAGGCAGAAGGATCCCACTGAAAGCCCAGGGAGGTTTTGAAAGGTTGCCTGTGAAAGTCTAGGCTGAACCGCAGGCAACTCCATCCTAGCCTGGGACAACAAAAGCGAGACTCCTGGTCTCAAAAAAAAAAAAAAAAAAAAAAAACAATAGTCTTTTTTAAAGTTTACTAGAATGTTAAACAGTTTTAAGAAAAATATATTGAAGAATGGATCCCACTTAAAAGAGTAAAAATCTATTAAGACTTCCTGAATAAGTCACTAGGTCTTTCTGGTGACTGGTCATCCTGAGTCTATCCAGTGGCCCCATCCTAAGTTGCCTCATTAAAGCATAACTAGGGTGGTGAATCAAAATGGGCTCATTATGTACCAAAGACTTAATTTGTGGGTTCTGCAGCCTTGGATTCAACCAGCCCAGGATGGAAAATATTCAGAAAAAAAAAAATTCCACGAAGTTCCAAAAAGAAAACTTTGGAAAATTTGCCACACCACATACTACAAAGATCCAACACAAGGAAGTTGATATTAAGGCAATTTATAAGTGGGTATTATAAAATCCCTAAGAGATGAAAATTTACAAGTGGTTGGAAGAACGTGGTTAATTACTTTATGTGCCAAATACTAGGCCAATTTAAAATATAAGGGACTTGAATCCAAGGATTTTGTACCCCAACAGGAAACCCATACGGAAACCAATCCTTCCCCATGTGTACCAAGGCATTTAATATTCCCATATTTAACCAAGGGATATAAAGGAAAACTTGAGCCCAGACAGTGGGCTACGCCTGCTAATCCTTAACATCTGAAGATCCCGAGGTGGAGGGATCGTTTTTCAGGTCACAAGTTGGGAGACCGCCCTGAGAGAGCAAGACCCCGCCCTCTTTTTTACTAAAAATGGAAAGAAATATCTTTGGACAAACTTAAAAAAATAATTAAATACCAAAAGAATTAAACCGGGCATGGTGGCACATGGCCCTTTAGTCCACAGCCTTACTCGGGAGGCTGAAGGCAGGAGGGTCACTTGAGCCCAGGAGATTTGGAGTTTTGGCCTGTGGAGCCTAGGCCTAACGCCATGACACTCTAGCCCCAGGCCAAAACAGAGTGAGAACAAAGGAAGAAGGAAGAAGGGAAGAAGAAAGAGAAGAGAAGAGAAGAAACAAAGAAAGAAAGAGAGAAAGAAGAGAAGAAGAAAGAAGAAAGAAAGAGAGAAAAGAAAGAGAAGAAAGAAAAAAAGAACCCTTAAAAACAGAAGAAAAGGCCGGGCGCTGTTGGGCTTCACTGTAATCCTTAGCTTCTTGGAGGCGAGGCGGGCAGATTTCTAGTCAAAGGAGTTTCAAACCAGCCTGAGCAAGAGCGAGACCCCGTTCTCTTACTATAAATACGAAAGAATTTTAATTGGCAACCTGATATATATATACAAAAATACCCGGGAATGGTGGCGCAATGCCCTGTTTATCCAGCTACTTCGGAAGGACCCCTGAAAGTCAGGAGGTTCGCTATGAACAAAGAGGTTTTTTGAGGTTGCACTGTAGCATTAGGCTGACGCAAAAGGCCCCTCCCTCACACTAGGGCAACAAGTGGATCTGTTACTCAACAGAATGTTTTTATTTCACTCTTTACTCTATATAATAATTCCATAAAAATTTTTTTTTTTTTTTTTTTTTTTTTTTTTTTTTTGCGCCGCGTCTTCCTTTGGTTTTGCCAGCTCGAGTTGTCCGTGCGTTCCGCCTGCTTCCCCGCACCTCCCACTTCTCGCTCCCGCCAATCCTCTGCCCTCCCTCCGCAGTGGCTGGCTCCGGCCTGGTGCCCCCTGCCGGCTCCAATTTGTTTTCTTATAATATATAGTTGGCCATTAAATTTTCCTTTTTCTAGTTTTTTACAGGTAGAGACAGGGGTTTCCTCCTAGCCCAGGCTTGGTTTTTTTGGAACTCCTGACCTCGACAATCCGCCGCTCCAACAGCTCCAGAGTTGTAGATTATAGCGTGAGCCATCAACGCCTGGCAGATATCCTTTTTTCTTTAAAGATCCATAGTTACCTGCTTGGAATGTAGTCAAAAAGAAAAAGAAAAAAAGAAAAAAAAATTAATAAACTAAAATAATAAACAAAAGAAAGGAAAAAGTCAATACTGGGCAATGTGGCTTAAGCCTGTAATTGCAACTCTGGAAGCCGAAGGCAGAGCAGATTTTCTCCCTGGTCGGATTCGAAATCAAAGTTCTGGCAAAGAGGTGAAGAAACTCCCCCTCTTTTACTAAAATAGAAAAAGAAAAGTAATTGGCCAACTTAAAAGATATATAGAAAAAATTACCAGGTGTGGTGGGCCGCATCCTGGGTAGTGCCCACATCGGGAGGCTGAGCGAGGAGATTGCTTTTTGAGCCCAGGAAGTTTTTGAGGTTTTGCATGTGAAGCTTAAGGCTTTGAACACCACGACACTGTTTAGCCAAGAG